CTTTCACTGAACATTCAATTACACCTTTTGAGGCAGTTTACCAGGCGGTAAAAGCAGGGACCTTGCCCTTAGGCGTTCTCGCCATCGGCAACCCTCGGCGTCGACTGACAACACTATCATGACTCTCATTCAGCTAATACTTCCTGTTACGTGCATAGCTTGGGGCTGGCTAATAGTAAACATGCGGGCTAGATAACGCTGACACAGCCTGTTTAATCGGATAATGAATACAATACACGTGTCCCTAACTAAACCTCTTGCATCAACTTTGCAATGATAAACTTAGTAAGTCTGGTGGTGTAGAAAGATTTAAGTGTACGTTAAAACGTGCATTTCAGCCTGCATTATATCTATATATTGAGAAAATATTCACGAACCAATGTTGGACTTGTCTCGGAAGTGATGTCTAATCATATAACAGCTCATATCGACATTGGACGATCAGAGGTACATTACATACATATAGATACATACTATAGTATATTACCTTTCACAAAACAACCCGCCACACACACATTCTAACCTGCATGACAAACCATCGTACGTTAAAACAGACTCAAGCTCATGTGATGTGATCAAACAACATATACGTTCGGAAAAAAGTGTGAAACAAAACACACCTCATGAGTCTCAACAGTAAAACAACACACACACACGCGCGCGCTTGTGTGTGTGCGATGAAACAACATACCCGCCGTGTTTACAAAACATTCATATTGTGTTCATATAATATGTGACGGCAAACCCAAGTGAAAACCACCCACGTACCTGATGTGATAAAATAGGATATATTTGGCGCATACCAAGTGCCATACCTAAAAGAAGAGTTGGGTTTTTTTTTTCAGTTACTTAAACAATGAATTGAAAAAACGTGTTTCACATTCCACCCAAAATATTTCAAAACATATATGTATCCATCCTTTTCTGTATACTTGTATGTAGATACGGAATGTTAATTTAGTTTGCATACTATCCAGGTGTGGAATGTTAACTCTGTATGGTATATATGTAAAACGGCTTGCCATACAAGATCAGTGTGTGTTGTTGAGCGTCGATCCCTTGAGATGTACGTCTATCATAGAGTTGAACACAACACAGTGACGTCACTTAAAACACGCTACTAATCTTCAATGACAATGAGAAAAGAAGGAATGTTTACCTTTCAGGAGCGCTCTTTTCTACCCGTTATCGGTCAGATCGGGTAAATGCTCAACAAACACGGTCACCCGACTCCCGCGACTTAAACTACAGTCTGGCTACTCCTGCGTAGACTCGGGATACAATTCATTGCACAAGATACCCCGAGGGCTTCCCGGATTGGTAACAAGAGTTGCGTCCCCTTCCACGGGTGTTGTAAAATGGCATTCGGGCCGAGGGGTGATTTTGATAATGACGACTATATAATTAGACGATTGAACATATGGCCTCCAAAGTGATCCAAATTATAGGATTGTTATAATACACATGGTCGTTAATTGCGTAACTTTATTTTAGTAGAAACGTAATATGTTTAATGGAACAGTGCCAGGTCATTCATTCATAAATAAATAAATAAATAAATAAATAAATAAATAAATAAATAAATAAATAAATAAATAAATAAATAAATAAATAAATAAATAAATAAATAAATAAATAAATAAATAAATAAATAAATAAATAAATAAATAAATAAATAAATAAATAAATAAATAGTAAGATATACACAATGTCATATTCCATGACCTCAACTCTCAGCTCAGTACATGCATTCTCATACCTACATGCATAATGTTAGAATATCTGAAAAGATATAATTTTCCCGCTGTGTTCAGTCACAAATGCTTCACATCAATTATTTCGAATCAACGGGATTGCAACATACGACTTAACATCCGGTGTGTTCAGCATGCCATAGGTCTCCACACCGGAGTACATACCACATCTTACGCTATAACATTCCTGAAACTACCGTTGCCTTATTTCTTGCGTCAGTATATAGGGACTAAAATGTTTCCATGTCTCCAGCTAGCCATGTAGTTATGTAATGTATCTAATTTCGGAGACAAAACGAAGTCCAGTTAAAGAAGTGTAAATGTTTTGAGGCGACACAGGGACGTGAAGAATCCGCTCTCTCACGCCAAGACACCACGACGTGCGTTATGTAATTTCCGTGTTAAAGTCAACATCAGTCGGCAACATCTGACAACGTCGGCCGGGGCAGCGGCAGGCACGCAGCGGGGGACGGATCTCCAGACGACTTCCCACTGTGACCCAGACTGCCACATCACCCCGCGGGCTTCCCCACATTCGTTCCTAAATACACGTTTAGGGTAAATTGGGTATTGGGTGGTCACAATGATTGCTGAGACATAACATTAAAACTGAGTCGGATTTTACTCGCTTTTAGCTGTATGCTAGCAATATCACACCAGAAATGTCCTTCACACATTGTGCCCATGTCGGGAATCGAATCCGGTATTTCTGCGCGAGGATCACACCCTTTACTTCCAGGCAACACCGCCTCCTGCCAGACCTTGACAGACAACCCTTGATGGGGCGCGTTACCGCATCACCACTGCTCCCACTGTCTTCTATACCACCACCCGTGAAGATCTGGCTTAGAATTCGTTTTCAGCAAGACAGCAACACATGCTTGTCGTAAGAGGAGACTAATGGGATCAGTTGGTCAGGCTCCCAGACTTGGCTGACACAATTGCGTGATAGACGCTCATGCTGTTGATCACTGGATTGTCTGGTTCGGTCTCGATAATTTACAGACCGCCGTCATATAGCTGGAACATTGCAGAGTGCGGCGTTAAACAACAGTACAACTATACTACATTACGACGCAGGGGTGGAAATAACTTTAAAATCGCTATTGTACTCCGGTACAGTGACACATGTAAAATCACTTGCCCTGATAATTTTTCCACTATACTGGCCGTTTTCTTGTTGATTTTTTAAATAAACAACATAATTAACATTGGAATATCAACTGGACACCGGTACAGTGTGATATACAAATTTGCTTGCCCGACAGAAAAAAACACTGGACTCGGGCGTCGGGCAATGGGTTATTTCCACCCCTGCACCGGCCCTTCTTAGAGACAATAATGGTGTTGAGTCTGTGGAGAACCGTTCACCACGTGGACATCTGGGATGTTAAACACTCCACAGATTACAACATATTCATGCTTCATTACCAGCTGATTACATCACTGTTACAGCATCAGGCGGTTGATGATGTCATTGAATTCGAAATACAACTTAACGCGTGTAAACAATCTGGTTATTTCCTGTTATTACTCCGCTTCACAATCTTCCTTAACGCATGATCGGTACATATCCCAACGACCTTGGGGTGTAAGTGTCGCAGTTTGTGAGCCCGAACACCTCATATTTCTCCACCTTTCAGTCAATAGAAGGGGTTCTCCATGCGCCCTGCTGTGGGGCTCAATGCAGACTGTCAAGTTAACATTCGCTGGTTCTGTTCAACAACAGGAGCTTGTTCCGCCCACATTCCTGCATGCATTTACGGGTAAACGCTTCCATTATTGGAAGTAAGTGGACAAACTTGCATCCAGCCCTTCCGTTTTAACGGTGGTTATAGGTCATGAACTTGTCGCATCTTGAACTGTGAGCACAATGACCGGTTATCTCATATGATCATAATATTCATAATTATAACAATGATGATGATAGTTATAACAATAATATCAATACATCTGTTTTAGTGTCACGCGCATATATTTATATATATATATACTTATGGATCAATCATCATTATATAGAATGCAAGTATATATAAAGATGCAGCTCTGTGTAGGCTTAATTTTTATCATATCATTACATGTGGGTGAGCATCTTATATCAAAACGTTTATCAGTTCCATAACAGTTCTTAGATCTGTAATCTGATTTTATTGCAAATGTACACAATGCATACATTGTCCAGTGATAAGATACTTGGGTGGGTCAGACACACACGCCGTGTGTTTACACGACTGTACATCACACAGTCAAACAACCTATCAGTGCTGACATCTCGTATCTAATCGATGAGCTTATAGCCAAGACACCCTTTGTTGACACGCGCGAACACACACTCACGCACGCGCGCGAGCAGGTGAGCGCACACACAAATATTTACATTACTATAGATACACACACAACGCTACATAAGTGAGGACAAATTGTCATTGCATGTGAGATTAACTAAACAATGGGTTGTCCATAACATCTTTATTACGGTGTATAAAATTATAACTTTTACTTTTATAATCATCTTGCAACTTATTCATTCAACACTTCTAGTGCTCCGAAAACTTAGATCTAAATGTACGGTTTTAGTGCCAGTATCAAAATCTAGCAACACGCACCCGGTAACGTAGAGTTTAGATCTACTGATTGTTAGTGTCAAATCCGTGCATCAAAAACACTGACATCAATCACACTGGCCCCAAACCATTTCGTTATGGACCCATGCAGATTGCTTCCACATTTCGCCTGTCGGGTTGCCCACGAGCTCATTTGATTCTAATAATGCATTGGATCCCCCATCGAGTGGGGCACATTTGGTTGGGTAAACACGTGTTGTGTATGAACACAACTGTCAACAGTACCAGCCGTCTTGTTGGCATTAAAAGTTTCTTTGGGTTTAACTGACACTTCCTTGAAACAGGCTTTAAAACGCGGTACAATTCAATTTAAAGCCACGCTTTTAAACAGACGAAGCGATAGGCCCAGCACGTTTTCAAAATGACAATCGACATCGGCGACATTGCCATTCAAAAAATATAGTATGAAATCCTGTGTAATGTGTCACTCCATAATGACCACATTATCTAATCGAATGGACCTCTTACCTGTTAAAGAAACTCTACACGAACAGTTCCAAGTTCGCTGACAACGTGACCGGCCTTCGTATCCGAGATCGGAATGAGGCGACTGACCGAACAAAACAAGTTTCGGTTATTTCCCTCTCAACCGGAAGTGAGATGAAAACGAGGCTTTGACTCACGGGAGAAGAGTTTGTTTACCATAGCTACGCATATATTTCTTCAACTGCAATCGACCCAGTTTAAAATATCGCCGTCTGAGCTTGTGCCAAGGTTTTCTTGTTTGGATAGAAGATGTTATGACATAAGTAACGTATATACCGGACCAAGTTACTGTTATCGATCGCGTCAAAGCATCCCTTCCCTCCCCGACTGATTGGCAGGTGTTCGCAGGTAAGAATCGGGCGATTGTTTATGCGATTACAACACCAAAACACAGATGACGCTAAAGATTAGAGGGCAATAGGTGTTTTATTTCTCAAGTGTATGATCGACCAAGTCTGCACGCAACTTGACTGTATCGAGGGTTCATGTATTTTTGAACAAACCACGGTTTTTATCGATCTGCACATGGGGGCAAAGTATGTGTTGACACGGAAGTGATCACCGTCACTGTGAAATCCGTTCACATGATGACTAAGTCTGTTTGAACAGGAAACGGATTCTAATTTGAAAATATTGTGTTAAATATAAAATATTTTTAGGATACAGCAAGGATCGCAAAAGGCAATGTCAGTGATATAGATTATGTTGGCCTGTTAAACTTGATGGATTGTGTCCATGAAAGGTATTGATGGATTCAACCACAAAAGGTGTTGATCACTTAAGGTATCGATTTGAGGGCGAATGTAGACTGATTTGTGCGATTTTAAACATGGTAACTCTTATACGTCATTTGCCCTGTTTATTATAACATTGATAATATGATCTACAATAAATGTCGGCATTTTGATAGTCATTAAATTCAATGCACAGTGTGATCTTTCTTCAAGCAATTTAGAAACAAAGTAAGCTTATAATCGTATATGTTCATATCGTTGAATTTTTGTTTAATAATTCAACAAGGGAGTACTGCACTTTACCGGGCGCACTTTTTCAGACTAATTAGCGCTGCTGGGGTTCCCTAACCCTAACCCTTACCCCTAACCCTAAGGATCGTAAAGGGTGCCTAACCCCAAGGATCGTAAAGGGTGCCTAACCCCAAGGATAGTAAAGGGTGCCTAACCCTAAACCCTAAGGATCGTAAAGGGTGCCTAACCCTAACCCTAAGGATCGTAAAGGGAGCAGCGAGGGCTGCGCCCGGTAAAGTGCATTCTAGCCTTCAACAAAACACATACACCCCCCAAAACGCACGCATGCACGCGCGCACGCACACACACACACACACACACACACACACACACACAAGGAAAAAAGAGGATCATAATATTGTTGGGGATAGGTTTTCGTAATGAAAACTGAGCACGCAATGTTATAAAATATCCGCAACAGTCAAGAACCTCATTTTGCTTCTGCTGTATACATGGTATGCAAAGAACACTCTGTGTATCTATGATTGTTTTAAGGAAGGTCTAGTTGTATGCCATTATGCTTATCAGTTCAGTTATCACTCCTCAATCTCAGTGAATGAGCCATAGTTCCAAAGTTCTATAATCTGGCTTTAATCCTGTTTCCTAGTCTTTTATGCTTATATGATTGTGAATGTCATGACACTATTATTTATGACATAATAGTTATGGCAATACACTATCGTGGCATAATATTCATGACAATACATTATCACAACATAATATTCATGGCATTACACTATCACAACATAATATTCACGACAATACATTATCATGACATAATATTCATGACAATACACTATCACAACATAATATTCATGGCAATACATTATCACAACATAATATTCAATGCAATACATACTTGCAAAATAATATTGATGACAATACATTATCGTGACACAATATTCATGACAATACATTATCGTGATATAATATTCATGACAATACATTCTCGTGATATAATGTTCATGACAATACATGATCGTGACACAATATTCATGACAATACATTATTGTGATATAATATTCATGACAATACATTCTCGTGATATAATGTTCATGACAATACATGATCATGACACAATATTCATGACAATACATTATCGTGATATAATATTCATGACAATACATTATCAGGACATAATATTCATGACAATACATTATCGTGATATAATATTCATGATAATACATTAACGTGATAAAATATTCATGACAATACATACTTGCAACATAATATTCATGACAATACATTATCGTGACATAATGTTCATGACATAATATTCATGACAATACATTATCATGACATAATATTCATGACAATACATTATCATGACATAATATTCATGACAATACATTATCATGACATGATATTCATGACAATACATTATCATGACATGATATTCATGACAATACATACTTGCAACATAATATTCATGACAATACATTATCGTTACATGATATTCATCACAATACATTCTTGCTACATAATAAATATGACAATACATTATCGTGACATGATATTCATGACAATACATTATCACAACATAATATTCATGATAATACATTATCACAACATAATATTCACGACAATACATTATCACAACATAATATTCATGACACTACATTATCGTGTCATGATATTCATGACAATACATACTTGCAACATAATATTCATGTCAATACATTATCATAACATAATATCAATGTCAATACATTATCACAACATAATATTCATGACAATACATTATCGTGACATGATATTCATGACAATACATACTTGCAACATAATAAATATGACAATACATTATGGTGACATGATATTCATGACAATACATTATCACAACATGAAATTCATGACAATACATACTTGCAACATAATATTCATGTCAATACATTATCACAACATAATAGTCATGTCAATACATTATCACAACATAATATTCATGTCAATACATTATCACAACATAATATTCATGTCAATACATTATCACAACATGATCTTCATGACAATACATACTTGCAACATAATATTCATGTCAATACATTATCACAACATAATATTCATGTCAATACATTATCACAACATAATATTCATGTCAATACATTATCACAACATAATATTCATGTCAATACATTATCACAACATAATATTCATATCAATGCATTATTGTGACATGATATTCATGACAATACATTATCACAACATGCAACACATTATCGATTTGATAACACATATTCATATTCATGTCAATACATTATCACAACATAATATTCATGTCAATACATTATCACAACATAATATTCATGTCAATACATTATCACAACATAATATTCATGTCAATACATTATCACAACATATTCATGACATTCATGACAATACATTATACTTGCAACATAATAAATCATGACAATACATTATCATGACATGATATTCATGACAATACATTATCATGACATGATATTCATGACAATACATTATCATGACATGATATTCATGACAATACATACTTGCAACATAATATTCATGTCAATACATTATCACAACATAATATTCATGACAATACATTATTGTGACATGATATTCATGACAATACATACTTGCAACATAATAAATATGACAATACATTATCGTGACATGATATTCATGACAATACATTATCACAACATAATATTCATGACAATACATTATCGTGACATGATATTCATGACAATACATACTTGCAACATAATATTCATGTCAATACATTATCACAACATAATAAGCATGTCAATACATATCACAACATAATATTCATGTCAATACATTATCACAACATAATATTCATGTCAATACATTATCACAACATAATAGTCATGACAATACATTATCTCAACATAATATTCATGTCAATACATTATCACAACATAATATTCATGGCAATACATTATCACAACAGAATATTCATGACAATACATTATTGTGATATAATATTCATGATAATACATTATCGTGATATAATATTCATGACAATACATTATCGTAACATAATATTCATGACAATACATTATCGTGATATAATATTCATGACAATACATTATCGTCACATAATGTTCATGACATAATATTCATGACAATACATTATCATGACATAATATTCATGACAATACATTATCATGACATAATATTCATGACAATACATTATCATGACATGATATTCATGACAATACATTATCATGACATGATATTCATGACAATACATACTTGCAACATAATATTCATGACAATACATTATCGTTACATGATATTCATCACAATACATACTTGCTACATAATAAATATGACAATACATTATCGTGACATGATATTCATGACAATACATTATCACAACATAATATTCATGACAATACATTATCACAACATAATATTCACGACAATACATTATCACAACATAATATTCATGATTATCACTATTCATTATCGTGTCATGATATTCATGACAATACATACTTGCAACATAATATTCATGTCAATACATTATCATAACATAATATCAATGTCAATACATTATCACAACATAATATTCATGACAATACATTATCGTGACATGATATTCATGACAATACATACTTGCAACATAATAGATATGACAATACATTATGGTGACATGATATTCATGACAATACATTATCACAACATGAAATTCATGACAATACATACTTGCAACATAATATTCATGTCAATACATTATCACAACATAATAGTCATGTCAATACATTATCACAACATAATATTCATGTCAATACATTATCACAACATAATATTCATGACAAACATTATTGTGACATGATATTCATGACAATACATACTTGCAACATAATAAATATGACAATACATTATCGTGACATGATATTCATGACAATACATTATCACAACATAATATTCATGACAATACATTATCGTGACATGATATTCATGACAATACATACTTGCAACATAATATTCATGTCAATACATTATCACAACATAATAAGCATGTCAATACATATCACAACATAATATTCATGTCAATACATTATCACAACATAATATTCATGTCAATACATTATCACAACATAATAGTCATGACAATACATTATCTCAACATAATATTCATGTCAATACATTATCACAACATAATATTAATGGCAATACATTATCACAACATAATATTCATGACAATACATTATTGTGATATAATATTCATGATAATACATTATCGTGATATAATATTCATGACAATACATTATCGTAACATAATATTCATGACAATACATTATCGTGATATAATATTCATGATGATACATTATC